ATCCTGTCGCGGCCGCAGCAGCCTCTCGGGCCGCAACCCTCACTTATTCCATGAGCGATCTATTAGGCGTACAGGGTCTCGATATGGGTGCCGTCTACCATCCGATACCCACGATCGGACTATGACCGACAATACTCACGCCCCTTTCCAGGCCTCAGTAGGTTTCATCTTAAGGGGCAGAGTTTCTTCAGTCATACATTGAGCTTTTCCATGTTTTTGCATTCATTTTACTGTTGATTCCTCGATCGACGATTTGTTAGCGATGATTTCTAGTATAATTCCGTTTATATAAACTCCATGTGATTGAACGAAATTTTAGTTACATGTCCGATTAAATAAACATGTGTCAGTTAAATCTATTTATCGGAATTCTTATTATGTGGAAGAAAAATTGCAGATTATAGAAAGAATGAGTGGATTCTTTTTACATGAAAACATGAACTGCATAAACTGTTAGTTACCCGACAAGTTCGTATAAATGGAATTTTGCTGTTAATTAGTTGATCGATGGTTTGATTGGGTTGAGTTTGTAGTACTGGATGAAGTGTAGATTTAGGATGTTTGAGGTAGTAGGGGATTGTATATTTTTTGTACTGTTGTATAGAATGGGGGTTACGTGCCAAGGAATTAAGAGCGTACAAATTTGGAGGTGTAGCTATGATTTTGTATCATGATTCATGAGGATTTGAGCAGGTGTGATGGAATCGATTCATAGTTGGTCGGGTTCGTTCTGATTTGAATGACGTGTTGGTATCCCGTTTGTACGTGTGATCGTTACAATTGCGTCCTTTGTTCTAATCGATGTTTTGTTACCATTTTTGTATTTTTTTTAAATATCTTTTTCGTATATGTAATTTTTTAACGGGATACCAAGTACACTTTGCGGTATTTTGAAACATTCCTCGATTTAGGACTCATCGCCTTCTTTTTCGGGAAAGTATTAGCGTAAATAACCTTGCAGTTGATTTCCGACTTGGTATAGCAGCGAATCGAAGACATATCGAGAAGTGCAATATAACGTAGTCTAGACAAAACCATTCCTTTTTATTCCCGGGATTCGAGTGTGGGAATAAGCGAATTCTCGCGAGACTGCTCGAGAAGCTCATTTCAGTAAAACTGTGATCGTAGTGAGAAAAGAAAAAAATAAAGATTGAAAAAGTATAAAATAGTAGTGAATCATAAGTCTGTTTGGTAGAACTCGATTAATCGCGTATCTGGCATCGTTTTCTTCGTAGCCAAAGATTAGCGTAGATAGCAAATGGAACAAACCTGCATCGCAAAAGACTGGTAGTGATTTCGTAGTTGATTAGCAAGAAACAAGTAGTAGGACAATAAAAGGAAGTGTTCAAAATTTAGGCAAATTAGTCTGTTTCAACGAGCAGCGCTCGGTAGTAAGTTGATACATCCAACGTACCTCTTGCAGAAACCATTCCTCCTTCTCATAAATTTCTAAAATTAAAGATATAAATTTCAATGTAACTTACCAGTAAATCTCATAGAAAAATATCTATTTAGGCAGTTGGAAAATTCTAAAGTAGTAGAAAAGACAATCAATCGCAAACGACCAACGTATTACGTGTTTCGAATGTACTTTAGTTAGACTATTGAATCTTGATTAGGAGAGGAGGAAAGGTCGCAAGTAAAAGGCAATCAGGTCACGATACCACACAGATATTTAGATACTTTTCGACGAACGAAAGAGATACAAATTCCTGCCTCGAACGACTCGCGTTCGCGACAACACGTCAATTGATTCGTAGATGTTAGATAATTTCGTAGCAAACTGGATCGAAGCTTTATGGTAGCGCTCGGTGTGTTCGCATGGTTGAACGACAATTCAATTCGAACAGACGATCGTGAAGGAATCGACGATGGTGTCGGCAAAAAGGAAGGAAAGGAGATGAAATGAAAAATATGAAATCTTCGGAACTCGATCGAGGTCGAGGTTCTATGGCATTCTATTTTTCCATGAAAGTGAAGGTTGTTCGTTCGATTTCGAGAGCGAGGGCGCCCGTCGTCGAGATCGTAGATTGCTAGAATTTCATCGAAGCAGAAGGGAAAGAAAAAGGAAAGAAAAGAAAAGCGTAAAGAATGAGTAGGAAAAAAAATGGAAAGAAACGCAAGAACACATTCCCAGGTAGCGGCACGCCGTATATTATTCCCAGAAGGAGGTGAATTTCTGATTTGCACGGGATGATATGTCGAGTGGTATAAATAAAGCCGTGAATCGTGAATGGTGAAGGCGGATAGCGCGTCGAGAGCGCGCGGCAAATGGTCGGCGATAAGCATTTCTCATTCGTCGCGCCTTTCAGAGTATTTTTCGCAATGAATTTCATGAAATTTCATAATGTCGAGAATATGAAGAAGTACGTACTCCAATACGGCGGTACACGTGTACGATAGAAGCAAAAGAAAGAAAAAAAGGATGAATAAGAAAAACAACGCGAGGTCACAGCTATCTATATGTATATAAATGCACACGCGAAACTATATACATATACATAGAATACTCGTGTGCATATAACATATATATAATTATATGAATATATATATACGATACGTACCTTGTGAAAAATAAAAAAAAAAAAACAATTACGATGAAAAGGAAAATGAAACGACAAAAAAAGTTGCAGAATTAATCCATTCTAGATAAATAGCAGATTATATACATATATTATATATTGTTTTGTATCTACGTATTTGGTAAAACGCCATATAGTATTTGATATTGATATTGATATATTTTGTGAGAGCCGCATTACAACCTTCTAGTTTTTGTAATAGACCTACAGATTATACATATCGGAGTATATTCTATATATATATCTCTCTATTTATACATATATATATCTAGGTAATTAGGTAAACATTTGTGTTGTTACAAACCTTAGCTACTTAATGAGACTTTTTTTAGGTGAAACTAGGTTTGAATTAGCTAGAACGAATATAATTTTTGACGAATTACTATACTATGTATACGTTCCTATCATTGAGACTACTAGTTAACTATAGCTTTTTGAGAAGTCACTATGATACCGATAGTTTAGAAATATATTCTAGGTATTTCTTCGTGGAAGATCCGTTTAGTGATCTCTTTCGTATCTATCCTCGTCTCCCTTTTGATCCTGTATCGGAAAATATAAAAGATATCATCAGAAAGAATATCTAAAAGAAAACAGGAAGAAAAAAGAACAATGAAAAGAAATGAGAAACAGCCACAGTGTCTTCCACGAAGAATGCATATTATCAGCGGCTTCAAAGAGACCTATTACAATGTACCTATTACTTAACAAGCTACGTTACATAGTATGTTTATATTACGTTACACGTAATATTATACCTCTCTATAGGATATATACTAAATATATATCGTGCGTATACCCGTCTACACCTATACCTTACAACCCCCCCCCCCCCCCCCCCCCCCCCCCCC